TGGTCCACAGTCCCAAGGCAGATTAACAAGAAGACACAATCAATCAATTAGTACAGAAGCTTCACAGCTTTTTAAGTGAAAGACTCTAGGCTCAGTTCATCAGCACAAATAAAACCTTGGCTTTCTCAGTTATCCAGCTACCTCTATTTCACAGCTATATTACTACAAAGTACTAAAGAGTAATGATGTCAGTCTAGGGACTAGGGTGCACCTGATCCAGGCCACAGTCTGCACAATAATATCAGAGAGCTGAACAATGACTAAGGATGATAGAAGAAGAGTCGATGCCTTTCAGTTGTGGTGCTAGAAGAGAGCACTGAATATACCACAGACCACCAAGAGAACAAAAGGTCTGTACTGGAGAGGTGAAGCCGTGTTTCTCCTTGTAGGCTAGGATTTTGAAGCTCTGACTCACATACTTTGACCATACAGCCGGAAGACAAGTCCCTGGAGAAGGACATCATGCTCAGAAGGGTGGAGGGACAGCACAGGAGAGGAAGACCCCAATGAGATGGATTGATACAGAAACTGGGGTATTGGGGGCTGGTGTGTCAGAATTGGTGAGACCGGCTCAGGACAGGGCAGGGTTCAAAGCTGCTGTACATAAGGTCACAGGATGACTCGACAGCACACAACAACATGTCATCGTTATTTCTGTCAGGTGTCCTGCAGTCATGGTGACTAACGGACAAAATGCTGTTTATTCCTATGTCGCCCTCACCATCCCTGCTACCTCTGAGCCCACTGATGCGGGTCCGTCTCAATCGCTTTGGTTTTAGTTTGTGTTTTTTATTATTCTCACTAACTGTCTATACTATACAAAGTATGATGTTCTTCTCCAGGGACTGGGTCCTCTTGACAACAGGTCCAAATTATGCGAGATGAAGAGTCTCACCACTCTGACTTCTAAGGTACATTCTGGCTGCACTACTTAAGAGAGAGACTTTTCTATTCTTGTGGAAGCCCGCGGTATATTTCTACTACCGCTGGTGTTTTTCGGTGCCACCAAGTGGAGTCTGACTCATAATGACCCTCTGCCACAGACCTGACCCCTGAGCTACCCCAGGCCGTCCTCATCATTTCTGACACACTTGAGTCCACTGCTGTGGTCACTGTGTCAGTCCGCCTGGCTGAGGGTCTCTACTCCTTCGCTGACTGTCCAACTCTTCAAGCATGATGTCCCTCTCCAAGGAGCAGCCACGTCTCCTAACAACATGCCCAAAGTATGTGAGAGGAAGCTTCACCATCTTTGCCTCTATAAAGCATTCTGGATGCACCCCGTCCAAGATGTAGTTGTGTGTTCTTCTAGCAGGCCATGGGATAGTCAGTGCTCTTCTCCAGCACCACAGCTCAGAGGCATCGATTCTTCTTCTGTCATCCTTATTCACTATACAGCTTTCAGAGCTCCAGCAAGGGACTGAAAGGATCATGGCCTGAATTTCATCTTAGTGGTCTATAGAACCCAAATGTACCACTTCTTCCCCAGTCTTCCCTATTCTTTGCTCGACTTTTACTTTAACATGTGTACGTTATTGTTACTGTTGTTGTGTGCCGTTGAGTCACAGCTATACCACAGCTGACTCTCCAGCAGGTTTTCAGATGCATTAAACCACATGAGAGAAGACTGGCCGCCCTGCTGTGTGGAGCAGTCGGTGGATTCGAATCACACGCCTTGGGACTGCAGTGCAATCGCTTTGAAAAGACCATGGCTTGAGTCAAGCACACTTGTCTTCAAAGGGACATCTTTGCTGTTGACATTTTTAAGAGGTCCTCTGCAGCAGATTTGACAACAATACATCATCTAATTGCCCAACTCCTGCTTCCAAGAGCACTGATTGTGGGGCCAGGTAAAATGAAATATTTGAGGATGTGTTCCAAGTACACTGAAATACACTGTACTTGTACATTTCTCCATCAATAATAACATTGTCTATTCCTTTAAATAAAGGAGTTGGATTGTTTTTCTGTTGGCTATGCATCAGAGAGTTGGACAGTGAATAGAGATGATAGAAAGAGAACTGATGCCTTTGAATTGTGTTGCTGGAGAAGAGTGTTGAATATACCATACTGCTAGGAGAACAAACAGGTTTGTCCTGGAGAGGTTGAAACCAGAATGTCCCTGGAGTCAAGGATTCTGAAGCTTCATCTGACATACTTTGGGCATGTTGCAAGGAGGGACTGGTCCTTGGAGAGGAACATCATGTTTGGGAGAGTGGAGGGGTGGTGAAGGAGATGAAGACCCTCGATGAGATGGATCGATTCTGTGAGTGGAGTGGTGGGAAGGAGTGTGTTTGAGACGGCGAGGTTGGCACAGGATAGAACGGCGTTTAGGGCTCTTGTACATAGCGTCGCTATGAGTCGCAAACGACTCGACGGCACATAACAACAACTGCAATCCTTAGTGAAGGCTGCAGCTCTTGACAGAACACTGATTCACCATCTTGCTCTGCAGCTCTTTGAAGAACAAGTGTTCACCAGGCTGCTCTAACTGAAATCTTTCTAACGTCATTAAAAGACAGTTCCTATAGCAGAATTAGCACATACCGTAAAACTAACTTGAATATGTATGCCCATGAATATTAAGGAAAGAAGTCATAAACGCATTTATGTATTTTTTTCAAGCTAAAAAAATCTAAATACTACAAGATAGACACAGAGTGTCTTCTCTGTTCACCCCATTATTTCCTAAAGAATCAAGGAAAAATTCAGGGGCAGCTAAGCTAGCAACGAAGTTATGTTCCTGCACCTGCCACGTGCATCAATTTGTAGGAAAATGTCTCTCATTGTAAAGATGGGTGTCTGGGGCCCTAGAGGTAAGAACTGCGCTGCAATCCTCAATGCCCACGGTTCAAATCCACCAGCTGCTTCGAGGGAGAACGATGGCTATCTCCTCCCATGTGAGTAACTGCCTCTGAACGGTCAGCTATGGGTCAGTTCTGACCTGATGATACTCAACAACAACAACATTGTATAGCTGAGTCAGAAACAACTCACAACTGACATTCTGTCGGGTTTCTGAGGTTCTAAGTCACAAGGGAAGAGGGACGGTATCAATGAATTCTGTGACTTTAAGTAACATCAAAAAATAGAGGTTCCCAAATTTTTACTCTGCCTCTCAATGTTCTTCTTCATTTCAGTCACATATATGCCTACTTTCTCAATATCTCCCTTTCATATCTGGTCAATCACATACCGCACGTTTAAAATGAACTGACTGATTTCCCAGCCCGTGGACCTCCTGGGTACACACTGGGAGCCCTGAACTCACAGCCCTCTCTGCCTCCACGTACAGTGTCCTGAGCAAGGGGGCAGGACACAGAAGGACCCTGAGCAACAACAGAGCACAGGTGTACACACAAGGCTGCGGGTCCTCACACCCCACACCTGTCCCCCCCCCCCAGGGCCGTGGGTCCTCACAGAGCACAACCCATCTCTCTCCCGTCAAGGCTGCAGGTCCTCACAGAGCACACCCCACACCTCTCCCCCAAGGTTGTGGGTCCTCACACCCTCTATCTCTCCCCCCCAAGGCTGCAGGTCCTCACAGAAGCACACTCCACACCTCTCACCCATGCAGTGGACTGAACCACCAACTATTAGGTTAACAAGTGATCACCTTAACCACACTGTGTCACGAGGGGTCATTGAACTAATTCTGACTCGTAACACTCACCGTCAGGTTTGGGAGGTCACCAAACTTTCCAACAAGAGGCTACCCATGTCTCCCTTGCAGAGGAGTAGGTGGATTCAAACCACTGACCTTTCAGCTAGAAGCCTAGGAAGTATGCTCTACCTCACCAGGGCCCCCTGCTCCTTTGTAATAACAAAGGCATCTTGTCAACATGAAGTCAGGACGCTTCCCTCGTTAACCTCAGCAGTGCTCCCGGACCTATTAGAGATTCCTATTTCCTTCGGATGATCAAAGATAAAAGGCCACAGCCACGACTATTTAATCCCCGGAGACGTTCAGAGGGCGCCCCAACCGTGTGGTCCTGAGGAAGCTGGGCCGCTGACCCCAGGTGCCCTTCTGGGAGTCTGAATCCCTTAGCGAAAAAGACAGGCAGTCTTCTCCTGGGTGATTGACAAGCTCCAAAAACGCATGGAGGACCAGCTATGAGTCATTTCACTTCAACAATGAGTGAGTGAGTGACACACATGATAACGCCATTACCAGTATGCAGGCCACCTAATTAAGATACTTCTTTTCTATGTAATTAATTATAGTTATACACTATAAACACAAGCTGAATGCTTATCCTACAAAGGCTTTTATTAATACTATTCTGTCACTGAGAACATACTCAGCAAAGCATTTGTCTCCACGTGTACAATTACGTGACAACGGTCACTTTCTTGGAGCTGTGTGACTATCCTCACTTTCACCAATGAACTCATTGTGCCCAAAGTTGTTAGCTAATATTTCAAGTGGATGTCATCATTTGACCCTCTAAGTTTTCACGTCTGTAAATAAATCTCTAACAGTCACCACTTTCATTTGTTTCAGACACAAAAATGATACATGCAACTTCCTGCAAACCTCCCGGGATTTCCATGCACCTGGTAGCCTTCCTAGAAGGTACCTGAGCTGCCAGGCAGGGGTGGACTGGCCAGGAGAACAGGCCAGGTGCAGGGCCTGAGGGGACGTGCATCCCTCAAAGGCTCTGCCCCAGGGCCACAGCGAGAGCTGCAGCCTGGGTGTCACACGCCTTCTTGTTCCCATTCCCTGCGGGAAAACCCCAGGTCTACAAGCAGTCTCGATTTCTAAGTGTGGGTCCCCAGCTGAGACAACCTCCACTGTTTGTTCAGGCGAACAGAACAGACAGCAGTTACTAAGCGACACTGACACCTCTCCTTGCTGACCCTGACCGGAGTCCACATCTGGAGCGACCCTTGAGAGAGGGCGCCTGGGGCTTTACTTCTATCCCTTTAAAGTGCTGTGAAAATGCTCCGAGGGATTTCTGATGTCACGTGTTGTCGTAGTAGAAATGAGATCCGTCACTTACCCTGCTGACTTCCTTAGGGGCGGACTCATCTGGGGAGAAGGAAACGGGAGAAGATAGTTAGAACCTTCATACAGTCTCACAAGCCCAGAGCAGGTCCCTACTTACCACCAACCAGAAGACCCTCTTATCACAGCTAAGAATCTGGTTCTAAAAATCTGCTTTGCAAGTTAGTAAATGTCAAAAGTAAAACATGGAAAAATAATATATTCATTTTGGAGCAGAAATGGAACATCTGTGCAATACACTAGGCATTTTTAAGATTACCCTTTTAGGAGTAGCAACACGGCTTTCTTTGCATTTGTGGCTACCATGTGCACCATGTGGTTGTTAATGTGCTGTCAAGTCGCTTGTACTCACAGCGACTCTGTGTACGGCAGCCCTGAACCCTGTTCTATCCTGAGCCAACCTCACTGTCTCCAGCACACCTATCCCAATTAGCCCAGTCACTGAGTCAATCCATCACAGTGAGGGTCCTTCCTCCTGTGTTGTCCCTTCACCCTCCCAAGCATGATGTTCTTCTCTGAGGATTGGTCCCTCCTTGCAACATGTCCAAAGTATGTCAGACGAAGTTTCAGAATCCTTGCCTCCAAGGAAAGCCTGGCTTCACCCTCTCCAGAACGAGCCTGTTTGTTCTCCTAGCAGTCCATGGTACATTCAATACTCTTCTCCAGCACCACAGCTCAAAGGTATCCATTCTCCTTCTGTCATTTGCAGTGAACAGGATGAGGTTCCTAATATGTTCAGTGTCCTGAAAAGCACAGCACCTGAACGTTCCACATGACTGTTAACACATGGGCTGGGCACACAATGTGGGCCCACCCAGAATGGCCTGCATGGTCTCAGTGGAGTCGGAAGCCCACTTGGTGAATGCAGCCACCTAGACTCTGTGAGCTAACCTGGACCACCGGCACATGGAATGCGGAGGCTCTTTCTGGTTCCAGGACAGACTCTCTACTGATGGAGGCCGATGAAGGGTTCTTGGTAGACCCCCTGGAGGGCTTCATCTCTATGGAGCAGGAGTCTGCTTGTGTGACACACAGCGTGTAAGAAGCCCTCGTTAGCTTCCAGACACTAAGTGCCTCCCCTGGCCTCCTCCTCACATGCAAAACAAAGTTCTCTAAGGTCTGGAATAATGCAGAATGGAGCCTGAGTGACCCTTCACTGTCCCTGATCTTTCCCCTGAGAGTTTTGCCTGGGCCGCACGCCTCCTTCACCGCTGGGAGTCACTAGACCATCTCCTGTGTGCTTCTCCTCCCTACCTCCCCAAGGTTCGCGGAGCAACGTCCACCTGACACCTCCACAGGTCTTCTCTCGCCCTCCATGCTCCCTTTCAACACCTGGCTACACACCTCCTTCACTGGGGACTTTTCGAAAATGCCACAGTTGGTGCTATCAGGTGAAGAGTACTTAATCTCTGATGAGGAGATCTGGAGGTACAGGCAGTGCACAGGGACTTGAGAGGCTGTCTGAAGGCAGGCCCTCTCGGACGTGTGAATCCTGGGCCACTCCCAGAACAAAGGCGAACAGTTTCCTCTTGTGTGCTTTTTTAAAAACAAATGTGTGATTTTAACAAAAGTTTACAGAAAAGTTGGGAGTTTTATTCATTGTTGCACATTTTCCTCTTTCTCCTCCCTTCCCCCCCCCCCAGTTCACTTTCTTTTGTTTTTTAATAGTCATTCCTTGTTGCACAATTTCCTCCTCCTCCCTTCTCCTCCCTAGTCCTCTTTGCAATGCACCTTCTATTCTGGACCACTGTCTTACATGTAATGCTTAATCAGAGATCTATTTTAAACAGTTTTCTCCCTCATCTGTTTCAATACAGTGTTCATTATCTACAGCTTCCGAAATCCACGGGAGAGTCAGCAAAGAGTCAGTTCAACTGGACAATCTTTGTATTACTGTGTTACTGAACACGTACCTATTTTCTTACAATTATTCAATATGAGTATTGTATCCAACTTGCAGACAGAGCACAGAATGGTACAGGAAAGCATTCATTTTGTACACAGAGATGGCATCATAAAAACACTTTAAGTAATGTTTAGCTCTTCTAAGTTCTTCCCTTCCCTCTCCAGTTTAGCTTGTTAATTACAACAAGCTTATCCAAAGATGACAACCCTAGAGCCTTATATGCATTTACCTTTTATTAAGTTTTAGCAGAGAAATCCAACGACAGCAGTTGAAAGATTCAAACAGGCTGGAGAGGAATGAAATGAGGAGCAGCGGTGCTGCTGGTCCCACCGAGTGAGTTGCCACAGTGCCCTGTGCGTGGCCACGACCCCGCTGAGTGTGACCATCTCCACAGGCTGCACGACAGGCACTGCACCAGCCCCAGCACTGACCACCTTCCTCCTGTCCTCGGCCCCTTGACCACACACGCTGTACCTGTCTGGCTGCTGCCCAGTCCCCACTGAATATGTTCAAAGACCAGAAGATAGAGCTTCACCACCCTGCTTTCTAAGAAATGTGCTGGCTCTAATTCCTCTAAGAAAGATTTGTTTGTTCTTCTGGAAGTTCTCTGTACATTCGGGGCTCTTCATCAAAATCATACATTTATAGACTACGTCTGGGTCTCCACAAGGAAAAGACCAATGACCCAGTTACAAAATGGGCAACTCTTACAGAGGAAGATATATGAATGGACAACAAACACATAAAGAAATGTTTCAAGTCAGTAGCAATAACAAAGATGCAAATCTAAACCAAAAGGAGATACCATCTTACTCCAGTAGAAGTGGCAAAGTTAACAGAAAAGCAAGTAAAAAATGTTGGAGAGGATGTGGCGAGATGGGAACTCTTACACATCGCTGGTGGGATTGTAAAAGGGTACAACCATTCTGGAAGGCACTTTGGCATTTCCTCAAAAAGCTGAACACAGAAATTGATACGACCCAGCTATGCCACTGCTTGGATTAATACTTGAGTGAATGAGAATTGAGACACAAACAGGGACTTGTAGACCAAAGTTTACAGCAGCAATATTTACCATCCCAAGAACATGGAAACAGCCCAGAGGTCAAACCACAATCGAATGGGTTGAGAAATTATGGTACATTCATATGATGGAATGTTACACAGCACGCAGAAGCAATGATTTTTGTAAATGACTACCTAACTTGGGAGAGACTGGAGAGCATTATGCTGAGTGAACTAATTCAGTCCCATAAGGACAAATACTGTATAAAAACCATTATTGTAGAATGAGTATGGGGATCCAAGGTGAGGGGAGTGTGGAAGCAGAGGAGTGAGGATGAGTGAGAGGGGTGTTAATCGTAAGATCGTCCAATTTGACAGGTCTGGGGTGTGTACAAAAGAAATGGGAAACATCTGATGTGAAAAGCAATGTATTCACACTGTGTAAATAAACCATTATACTAATATTTTTTAAACCCCACCACCATAATCCAAACACACCAGTTTTGTTTTTGTTATGTGTCGTCAAGCCGACTAAGATTCAGCATCCTTAGAAACACTTCTTCTTAGTTCTCCATATTCACTGACGAGTTTTCACATGTTCACATAAAAAGCAATTGATAATCAAGCAGCTTGGCTCAGTCCGACCTCTGTCCTCAACGTGCTGGATTTGCTTTCTTTTTCACACTTTACTGAGCTGCTCTGCAGCGCACTTGTCCAATGGACACGCTGGTCACTTGGCTGAAGCTTCCAGGGGCATGGATTGTGGACGCGAGCAAAACGACATTCTTGGCAAATTCAAACCTTTCTCCATGTACCGCTATGTTGCTTATGGGCACAAGTTCTGTTCCCTGGGTTGAGGTGTAATCCGCTCTGAAGACGGCAGTGTCTTATTTACACCAGCAAATTACTTGAAGCCCCCCCATTTCAGCAAGCAAGGATGTGAATGAGTCTCCCTCTAATTTTGATGTCATTTCCTTAACATTGTCTATTAACTCAAATTCTATGATCAGCATACAGACAGAGGAAGCATGGTCAAAGGACAAAGCCCTGATGCAAACTTCTCCTAATCTGAAGCCCGCAGTATCCTCTGCTCTGTTCAAATGAGCAGCTGCTGTTCTAGGCATGTAGACTTTTCCGCCAGACTAGAATCCAGTGTTTTGGAACTCCCAGTTTTCACTACGATATTGATTTTTTTTTTCTTAAGTTTACAAAGTCAAACACATTTACAGTCATTAGAGTACAAGTGTGTGTGCGTGTGTGTGTGTATACGCGCGCGCGCGCACACACACACACACACACACACATCTATCTGCTATTTCCTCCTTTCACTCAAGGTCGGACATCAGCAACAACAGTCCTCCTCACACCTCCTTTTCTGAACCTGGTTTAATTTCTAGGAGTTCCTTGTCAGGTATACAACTGGAACAGTTTTTTAATGATATTCAGCAATATTCCATTGGTCTGTAATATTAATGATATTGCTGAATAATTGCTGCAGTCTGTTGGATCACCATTTTTGGAATGGGCACAAATATTGTTCTCTTCCCTTTTGCCGAAAAGCCAGCTAGCGGTCTTCCAATGTATCGGCTCCACAATTGAGTATTTCTAGTATTTCCCTCACTTGAAATCATAGCAATTAGTCACCAATTCCTGGAACCTTGCTTTATGCTAATTCCTTTGGGCCCGTTAAAACTTCTTCAATTCTATTAACTATCACACAGGGAGTTCTGATGGGCTACTGATGAGAAGGTGCACTTCAATCCCAAGGTTGTGTGGTTTGAATCCACAAGCTGCTCGGAGGGGATGGGGCAGGCAATCTCCTTCCAAGTGATTTACTTTCTCTGAAAACCTGCTGGAGGGTGAGCTAGAGTCAGCTTCAACCGGACCACACCAATCTCTTTGGTACAGTGACTCTGTATTGTCTCTACCTTCTTTTGATTCTTCTTGTGTCATTCAATAATTTGCCATAGAATCTTTCAACACTGTGGCTTGAGGCTTAATTTTTTTTTATTCAATTCCTTAAGCATTCCAGGTACTGAATGTGTTCTTCTCTTTCAGTGTTCTATCTCCAGGATTTGCATATTTTCCTTTCATTTAATATTAAGTGACTTCA